CCATTCAGGACTCATTTTCAATTGCCACCTGCTCTGTGAAGCTTTAGCTGACTAGCACATTCCACAGAAACTTTTGCCTCCTCTGGGCTCTCAGAGGGAACATCAGTATAAGCTCCAGATAGTCTGTTATCTTTTGGTTTGTATGTTTCTTATCTCTCCAACTAGGTAATGAAGAACAGGGATGGTTTCTTTCTTTCTTCTTTTTTTTCCTTTCCATCATTAACATACAACTTTATTTATGATATACAAATTAAATCAATGAAAATGACAGAAGGGAGCTTACTTATGATGAATTGGTTCACTGTCACTTATGCAGAAGAAATAGCAAAATATTTCAATCTAGGCAGTGAGATAAAAAGCAAAACATGTTTTCAGAACAAGTAGAGATATTCATTCATCCATCTTAAACCTAAAGACAAACTCGGTTAAATATCAGCATTGATGATACAATATGATATTCATTATTCAAAACTGGCAGCTTAAAGGATTCCTTTACCATATAAACAAGGTGGAGAAAAGGAATAGTTTACAATGTGTGTTGCTTCTAAACTACAAAATAAAGGAGTTATTCCTGGCTCTTTGGGAACATATGTTCAGCCAGTTTGGCCATGAATTTTCCAACTTTTACTTTCACCAAAAAATCATGATGGCTTTCTATTCCCAGAACCTTATCAGCACACACTTGAAATTCTTTTAAAAAGAAAAAAAGTGAACCTTCACCAAATTGATTCTGAGTAGGTTCATTTTCTTCCCATTTGAAATTATCATTTATGTTCTCAAATATGACCAGAAGTTTAAGAATAACTTCTTTGTCCTCCTTCTTATTAAAGAGAGAGCCCAGTGAAGATGGTACTTGGGCCCTGAGCAGTTCCCTAGTCATAGCTGGAGTTTCAACCAAATTCAAAAGGAGTTTCAGAACCTGAAGTTTGGTTTCTTCATTTCCCGCTGAAAATAAACGAAAAAAGTCAGAAATGGAATTAGCAAGCATGTGCTGATACTCGTTAGTAACAGTCATATTTGTAAGCAATCTTAGTCCAGCCAGCTGCACAGATGAGTTCAAGCGAGAAGTGATTGTGTCGTCACACACTTGATTCATGTATACCTTAAGCCTGCGCTGATTTTCAGCATTCACACTCAAGTTATTAAGGACAATCAAAGCCTTTTCTTTAACTATGGGATCTCGAGTATTGAGAAGCTTTGCAACAATTGGGAGACCACCCAGGTCACAAATAATATCTCTGTTAAATGTAAAAGCAGCATTGTTACCCAGAGCAATTAAAGCTGCTTCAAGAATACAAGGCTTTTCAGACATCTCAACCAAGCAAAGAACCTTTTGTAGCTCTTGAGGGGACAAAACGGTATCATCTGAATTAGGGGAAGCCCATTTCTGTACAGCCCGACACGCCCGGGTAGCCCTGGCCCTTGCCCTGGCCCTAGCTCTGGTTCCAGCTTCAGTCCCAATCCGGGCCCAAGGTGGGTACCATACTATACTCTTGCTCTCATTGCTGTCATCATCATCATCAGACCAGTCATTATACCTGGCCCCAGAACAGTCCCCAGCATCATCCACATCCCCAGACCCACCCTCAGCCATTTTTTCCTTGTTCTGTTTTCTTCCCCTAGTCAGTCTATAAATGCAATAGCAGGCGCCAGCCCCAATCACCAGGCCTGCAGTCACCCAGCCTACTTTCCTGGCGTAGCCCATGCAATCGTCCCTGACAATAGCAGGGACCAAGGACTAGAGTAGTCACTCAGGCTAGGGGAGGAAGGCTGTGGGACTGGGTGCAAGCCTGTGGAGGGTAATCGTCTTCAGCCACTTCAAGGCCACAACAGCCGATTCTGGAGGTTGACCTAGGAGTGGGAGAAGAAAATCAGATTTGAGTTTCTCTTCTGCTTGTGTTGCCTGCCCTATGCAGGGAGTTGCGCAGAAGGACAAGATAATAATAATTGAATGCTGGGTAAGAAATGTAAATTTTTGACAAAATCTCTATGTCTGTCATTTCAGCCTTTCCCTCCCCATCCCAGTTCATTCCGCCCAAAGCCTAAATAATGCCAACGGAATCCACAGACTGAGACTTCTGCTGGGGTATCAGTCATCACAACCTCAGATATCCCCAGGGACCTGACTAGAACGCTTGCACTAACCTCTTCAAGACAAGCAGTTCGCCCCTTCTTCTTTCCCCTGGTGGTGTGCCACGCCCAACAACCTTTCCAATCTGCAGAGAGACCAGAGCCAGTGAGAACGGAGGACTTCATGAATTGACTGTTCAATTGTTGCTTTCCTGATTCACCATCCCGGTTATCAGGTTTGTTTTTAACCTCTTTATGCCATCCCAAACATGCACAGGTCTGCCCCCTCCCTAGCCTGAAATGGGAGGGAGGTAAGGAAAATAAAGCAGGATTGGATAAGCCTCTCCAAAGTGCGGCCGATTTCTAACCCCTCCCCCATTCCAGGCAGCCCCCACGCCCACACCGACCTCTATTGATCAGAGGAAACTTCCTCCCTCGCTTCAAGCGAAGCCACCTGCTACAGCAGACCTGCAGGATGACAGATCGAAAACAAGGGGAGAAAGTGCTGTTGAGAGAGGAGGATTACGAACAAACTATCCAATAGGTTTCCCTGCTGTCATTTCCCCTACTTCCCCCCCACCACACACACACAAAGCACGCCATTTCGCCACAGTTCGGGGAGTGCGAGAAACACATTCGGACTCAGACCTGTACCTAGATTATTACCTTCTCTGGCTTCTCCCCGCCCCCGCCGCCACCCCTGCCCCTGCTAGGGTCCCCAGATGGTCTTACCCTCAAAACGACCTTCACCGATTGGGATTAATTTCTTTCCTCTTCTCTTGCCTGGCGTTGTGCCGCAACCTACAGAAAGACTGGCCACCCGGGAGAGGCTTGGACCCACTAGATACAGAGCCATGGTCACTAAGACACAGCCACAGGCAGAAAGACGGGAAACTGCCGCTACTGAGTGTTTGGTGGACGGAGTAGTCCCCAGAACACAAAACTCTTTTCTAATTCGGAGGCCTGGTTGTCAGAGGTTTCCCACCCCTATTACCTCTCCTTGGGGTTCTGCTGACATATCACGTTGCATTTCAGCACCCCCGCCCCCATATCCAGCCATTCCCCTCCCGCACTTTCCTGGCGGAGTAGGGGCCAACACCTAGGCCACAGCTCCCTTTCCGGATTGCGGGCCTAGGCTCCCAGCAGTCTCCCATCTCCCAATCTCTGAGCCCCTCCCCAAACACCCCCCAGCTCACCGTTTCGCAGCATCGAAATGGGCTGCAGGCGGGAAATATGTCTTGGAAAGCGGGCGGCGAGTGGGAGAGACGACGGAGGCGCCTCAGTACCCGCGACGGTCTCGGCCCTACGCCCTCAAGCACCCCGACTTTATGGAATCTCCCAGGCACTGACCTGCAGGGATCCGAGACAACTTCCTACTCCTCTTCCTTTTTCCCTCCGCTGCAGGCCCGCCCGCCCTCAGGGCAATGGGGAGCTGGTACTCAGACGGGAACAACGACCAGAACAAGAAGGACTTCTGCACACGTCAGCTCTTGGTCACGTGAGAGCTACGTCATCCACCAACTCTGGTCCCCAATTTCCCCTCCCACCAGCAGTGCGGCAGAAGAGGGCCCGCCCCCCTTTCTTCCCTCCCCCACACCAGGCCTCTTTCTTATTCGATAATCTCATCACCTTGTAGTTGTGTTTCCCTTCCTCCGGTTACCAGAAAGGGACAGCATCTTCCCCTGGGGCTACGGGCCACTTGTACTCTTTTGAAAAATTACCTCTTCCTTCCCTAGGCTCCTGGGACAGCAGCCTCTCCCTTCACCTCCCCCCCCTAAGCTATTAAAAGTCTACCATTTCCTCTGAAATCTAGTCCCAGATCTGAACGGAACAAGTGATTAGAAAAGAAAATCTGGAATGAGAGTGTGGCTTTTACTTTCTTAATATTCTGCTATTTTTGTTCCCTCCCTCCCCCACCGCCAGCCTTCATTCTTTTTATGAGAAAAAATACTATAAAGCTATTTCCATTTTAGAAGAAATGAGTGGAGATTGGAGAATGATGTTGAGTGATGGCCTTCAAAATTCCCACATTTTCTTACTTGGTGAAGAGTGTTACACACTTCACTCAAAGCAATCTTAATGTCTTCTGGGGTCTAGCACACAGCACAGCCCTGAATGAGCTAAGCAGTGTGTCTGACAGTATGTAAATCTTCTGACTAGGCCAGTCTTCTGAATAGGAGAGCTACAGACTTTCACCTGCATCCATTAGCAAGGATGAGGCATTGAAGCCACAAAAGCCAGTAAAGCAGAGAAAACAAAACTAAGGAACAAACATAAGTGCACAGTAGGTATCTGTAAGATAAAAGCATGCACACTGACAAAGTGGGTGTGCATACAGAGAACATTACAAAATATACTTGGACAAACTAGAGAATACCGTCTATAAACAAAGTAAGTAGTAAAGGAACACACACAAAGACAAAATTGGCTGAAATTGGAACCTAGCAATTAGGATGAAACTATTTCACTCACTGGTTTGACAAACTGAATAATTCACACATCATCAATGATTTAACTTTTTTAAAGTAGGAAAAGGAATAAAATAATTACATCCCCTCATTGTTTAAGTTAACTAGATTTGGTCTCAGTTGCTTGCAACCAAAAACCTTAACTAAAGCACAATATAAAAACACTGGTAATAATACGAAAAGTAATATAGCTTTTCAGAACATGGGGTCTTCAGTTAGATATTACCTAATAGTTTGAAGAAAAGGTTGTTATTTGAGTATAACTTTTAAAATACATAGACAATATGGGAGTAAATCAAGAGACTGAGGAGGTTGAGAACATGCAATCCCCCAGGAAAATTCATATCTATGTAATTTCTGAAAGGCAGTACAAGAATGTGATTGAAATTTGTTTAGTAAACAGAAACCAAATCAACTATATGATCCTGCATTTAGGGAAAGATCATGTGTAGCAAAGGGGCTTATTCGAGCATAGAAATATATGAAAAGGACAGAGGAAAGTGTTGGTATTTTCCACACAAGCACTGTCTGGAGGAGAAAGAGTGTTAGCTAAGGAGAATGGGACATTTCACTTTCCCTGGCAGAGTCATGCCCATGATATGTAATAGTACTTCATGCTTCCTCAGCTGAAACCCACTTCTTAAGATGAAGGAATACCCTTGCTCTGATTGCAGGCTTACCAAACAACTTTCTAAGTTGTGGTTTCCCAAGTAGTAGCTTGTGTACAGGGAAAGAATGGGCAGGTAAGACTGACAGAAACCTCCAGTACCCCCTGACAATTGTATTTCTCAGGGCAAATTAATTCAGTTGTCACTCCTGTTGAGACAGCTTCCCTTGTAGTTTACTTATGAAGAAAGAATGCAGAGATCCATAGGTTTGAGCATTCAGATCTAGATTTATATATAAGTCTCTATGAATGGGAGTCTTTCCTCCAGAGGCAACTCTTCTCAGCATACAAACAAAATCAGGATTTGATCACGCAGTGCTGAGGCAGAGAACCTGAAGTGTAGATGCAACCTTGCGGAAATCCTGTGGGAGAATCCCAGTGGCCTTGGCTCAAAGAACAGCCTTGTGCATCACCATTTCATAACTATATCTTTCTAATGTTTAGTCAATGGTAGAAATTACAACTAAGATACTCTGTGGCAGATTATGCCCCCACCATCAGTTATAGACAAACAAAGAGTTAATTTCCAAAGAGGTTAAAGGACTCCTGCAAATCAACAACAACAGCTGAAACAGTTTACATTTCTCCCTGGGAAAAGAAAGGAAGTGCGTTTTACATTTTATATACCCTATTGTTTTTTCCTCAGCAAAAGGGTGTGGTATTGTGCCCAAAACAGACTAACCAAAAGCTGTCTTACTAAAATTTCAATCTTCATCAGAGAGAAAAAGATATCTTTCAATTCCTCCTACCTAACCCCTCAGAGACGAACCTAGTCTTCAACATTCCCTCCTTGTCCAAGTTAACCAGGCTTGTTCTCTGTTGTTTGCAACCAAACAACCTTAAGTTAGACATAATATCAAAATTACACAATACAAAAAGTAATGTAACTTTTCAAAATAACAAGCTTCTATAATTTATTTTTTTCACCCTCCACAATTCAAGTAGTGTCACCATTTGCTGATTCTTTCTCTTTTCCTGGTACTTTGTAAGTTACATATCACATGTGAACTGATCTAAGCCAAAAGGTTCATTTTGCCAGTGGTTTCATCATTTTTTTTGCAGGCTCAGGTGCTTTTAACAGTCCTGTCTGAGGACTTCCTTAAGCATTTTCCTTCCTCACTTTTGAACAGTATGTGAGCCTTGTAACATGTCCTTAAGTAAATGTTTGTTGGTAGATGTATAATGCAGAGCAAAGCAGTTTTTAAATGCCAGTCTCCAGGTAGGAATTGGTAGAATTGCTCATCAGAAGAACAAAGAGGTAAGGGAATTGAAAGGGTGTTATAACCATGGGGTTTTAGGTAGTTTTAGACAGGGAGTTGATTCAAACCAGGAAAGGTCTGGCATATGGCGAGAATGGTAGTGAGAAGTTATATATTGGACTAATTGGAGGATATACCAAAAGGGCGTAGATATTTTATGCTAGTGAGGAGAGGTAGGAGTAAAGTTTTTGTCCTTGAAGTCTGGCTGAGTGTTGTGAAAGTGAGTCCTTATTGTAAAGCTACGTCTGTGACACCAAGTCATCTGTCTTTATTAAGTTTTACATACTCCTTAGTTTTTTCTAATGTATATATTCAAAACAAACAAAAACCACTTACACAATTACCTACCTAGCAGCCAAATGCTGAATGATGGACAGTTGAATCTGAGAGCTCTGTTAGTAAGGCTTCATAAGTATAATTCACTTGTCTAGGGGTACTTAATAAAGAGTCATGAAAAATAAACAGTATAAGGAAATGATGGTGAAACAAATGAGGTAAAAACCGAGAGAGATAGGGTATGATATTGGTGAGTTTGGACTATAAAAGAGGAAGACCTGAAAGCTGTGACATATTGACTTCTGAATATTCACCAGCAAGGCACTAGGACTCCCTAGCTAGCCTCCTGAAAGGGCCTCCTCCACAGCAGGGGCCCCTCAATGGGGAGCCCCTCCCTCTGGGGTGTCATATTTAAATGTTGTAAGAAAGATGCTGCCTGGAGTGTCTATATTTAGAGTATGTCTCCTCAGTGGGGACAGGTGGATGCGTGGGGACTAATTTCTGCATACTTGATCCCTCAGTTTTGGGAATATTCTGAGTGGCTTGTACGGGTGGCTCAGTGAAGTTGTAACAAAAGGCAGGAAATGAAAAGGCCTCTTTTTTCTGGCAACTGCTTGAGATCCTGTGCATTGCCCTTCAACTTGTGAGGGGGAAAAAAACGACACAGATATCAAGGGTGTTGCAGTGATTCCCAGTCACCCACAGACCCTCACCAGCATCCCCACTGGAAAATGCTGAACACTCGCCACTGCTAGAGTAGCATACAATATATGAATGGCAGACACCAGAGAGATCGCAACAGTGTCACGATGAAATGAAAATTACCTCTTTCAAGTCTCATTTTCATCAACGGGGAAACAGGGAATTCTCCAATTTCTGGGTGATTTATGGGTTGTACCATAAAACTCCAAAATAGATTTTAAATAAAACCCTGTGAATGAAAGGCAGGCTAATCTGTGAAGTCACTAATCTGTAAAGTTCATCTGAAGATGTAAGATTCATCTGAAGATATAAGATTCATCTGAAGTTGGGATCTGCATAAAATCTGTCCTTTGAGGTCAGAGTGAAAGCCACCCAGCAATCATCTATGAAGATCTTAGACATCTGACACCTAATGCTATGAGCTGAGCCAGGAGAAAGAGACAATAATTCACGTACCTAAAAGGTCAAAATTAGAACACTGACCTTCTCAGTACAGATTTATCCAACAATTTATAAATCACATTTAAAGCACAACTGGTTGGTTGTAAGGGTATGTTTTTACATTTTAATATGTTGTTTCAACTTGATATTTTCAATTTAAACTAACTTCACCAAATCAATGAGGCCTCCCTATTAACTGGGAAATCTTGCTTATGTTATATACATTTAAAAAAAAATTTTTTTTTGAATTGTTTCTTCTCCAAGAGGGAAAAGCTTTATTGGTTTTTGTTTTTTTGTTTTTTGTTTTTCTGATTACAAAATAGTGTAGTTCAAGTCAATAAAAAAGAAAGGACAAAATAGAACCTAAATGTTGTCAAAATACTCATTTAAATCTCACCACTACCTGGACTTCCGTTTCTGCCCCTCCCCCAATGTTGGTGCAGAGACTGAACATGGAAAAGGGTAGAAATTTAAGAAAGGGTCTGCAGGAGTTTCAGAGCCCAGGAAAAAATGAGAAGATTTCCCAAGAAGTGTAAGTGAAGAGTAGACCCAGGAAAAGATGCTGCCCCTTCCTGGAATAACAGAAACACAAATTCAAACACCAGAAAGACAGGGCCACTTCTGGTTTCTGGTATTGTTACGGAGGAAAAAAGTGACAGGGCCCCACTGTGGGGGTTGAGGGGGAGATACAGGGCAGGCTGGCGCCTGCCGCACTGCTTGTGGGAGTGGAAATTGGGGGCCAGAGCGCACTAGTGACGTGGCCGTCACGTGACCAAGAGCCGCCTAGAGCTCAAGTCCTGCTAGTCGTCTCCGTCTGGGTACCAGCCCCCTATTACTCTGCAGGCGTGTGAAGAAAGAAGGAAACTAGCTCGGACTGTGCAGGTAGGTGCGAGGGTGGACGCTGCTTGAAAGGAGGTAGGGGTGGAAGAGGGCCAAGAACGCCGCAGATCCGAGTTCAGGCCGATCACGGCTGGGTCCCTTTCTCGCCTACTTTCTAAATACTGCCTCCCACCCCCACCCCACCCCACCCCGTGCTCATTTTAGTAGAGAGAAGTGGCGGGCTACGGGTGGGTTGGGGTGAGGGGAGTGAATGGCGTTTCCAGAGACTCCGAGGAAAGAAATCCACAATCAGGGTTCCACAATCGGGGTTCCAGTGTCCTGGGTGCCGGTCCGTCTACCAAGCACTCCGTCCCCTCGGTCCCTTGTCTGTTTGCAGGTTTGTAGGTCTGCTGGCCTGTAAGGCTCGGCGCAAGTCTCAGCGACAGAAGGAGAAAACTGCCTTGGTTGGAACCTTGCAGGTCAGTGTGAAGGTAGGATTAGCCCAGAACCAAGGGTGGGGGTGGCGGAGCACGGGGACTGGGATATGAGAGGGCCGGGTCCGAGTCGCCCTCTCCTGGCCCCTTCTTTCTCCACACCCCCTCCCATTTCGGTACAGGGAAAGGGGTGTGGCGGCCTTTGCTGGGGAAATGGCGGACAACAAGGGGGGCGGGGGAGGCCCGCGTCGGGAAAGTCAGAAGAGTATGAGAAATCTTTTAAACTCAAGTGCCTAAAATTCACAAAAGCAGAAATTGGGAACTGTGTCCTCACTCCATCCACTACACTTTCTCATCTCCATTGCCGTCTACCTGTCTTTGCATTTGTCCTTCTGCCAGACTCTTATCTGACTATCACCGTGGAAGGACCACTGACAACAGAAGATAAGGGAAAACGAAGGAATTTATCCGACTTTGGTAGAGGTTAGTGAGAGAAACTGCACTTAACCTTTGGGGATGGAGGTCCGGTGAAGGACACTAACTGAGAGTTACTCACCCTGTTACCCTCCTAGCTGACCAATCTCCTGCTCTTCCTATGGGTCCAGGAAGAGAAATGTGGGATCCTGAGGGTCGATAGAGGAAGATAGAAAAGAACAAAGAAACTGTTTCCTGTTAATCTGCCTTTCTCACCAACTCGAAATCCGGCCTCTCTGTGACGCACAAAGCCAAACATAGCTCCGAGCCTTAATACTCTATTTTACCCATAGATTCATCACAAGAGAGCTACAGGAGCCTGGAATAAGCTGAAGACTGCTACCCTCCACCATTACTCATCCTGGACCTAACAGACCTCTTCAATCAGGTGGAGCAAGGCCCTCTCCTGTCCTGCCCCAAGGCTGGAACGGACTTGAGCATGGGCCGGGCTCGGGAAGTGGGTTGGATGGCGGCAGGACTGATGATTGGGGCTGGTGCCTGCTACTGTGTTTACAAATTGACCATAGGAAGAGATGACAGTGACAAGCTGGAGGAGGAGGAGGAAGAGGAGTGGGATGATGACCAGGAGCTGGATGAGGAGGAGCCTGATGTTTGGTTTGATTTTGAAACTATGGCTCGGCCCTGGAGTGAGGATGGAGATTGGACTGAACCTGGGGCACCAGGTGGCACTGAGGACAGGCCCTCAGGGGGAGGCAAGGCCAACCGAGCACACCCAATAAAACAGCGGCCCTTCCCCTATGAACATAAAAATACTTGGAGTGCTCAAAACTGTAAAAATGGCAGTTGTGTTCTTGACCTCTCCAAGTGTCTTTTCATTCAGGGAAAACTGTTGTTTGCCGAGACCAAAGAGGAGGCATTTCCATTTAGCCAGAATATCAACAGCCATTTGGCCAGCCTCTCAATGCTCAGACACACGATCCCCACTCCAGACCCGGCAGCTAGAGAGGCTTTGTGTGCCCCAGATAACTTAAATGCGAGTATTGAAAGTCAGGGCCAGATTAAGATGTACATCAATGGAGTGTGTCGGGAGGCTGTGTCACGTTGCTGCAACTCATTTCTGCAGCAGGCCGGATTAAATTTGTTAATAAGCATGACAGTTATTAATAACATGCTTGCCAAGTCCGTTTCAGACTTGAAGTTTCCTTTGATATCAGAGGAAAGTGGATGTGCTAAGGTTCAGGTTTTGAAACCGCTGACGGGTTTGTCTGAAAAGCCAGTCTTGGCGGGGGAGTTAGTCGGTGCCCAGATGCTCTTCTCATTCATGTCCCTCTTTATCAGAAATGGAAACAGAGAGATTCTCCTGGAAACCCCTGCCCCATAAAGGGCCCTCTCGAACACACTGGGACCGATTCCACTCAAAACGCGCTTGGTTTGCAGATAGATGTCAAAGAATCTGCAGAGGGTGTCACTGAAGATCCAGCCTTAGCCAATCACCGCCTCATTGGGTGAAAGTTCCAGCGCTCAATCCAGGACCACGCTCTTATTGGCCAGGCAGGGGCTCCCACCGAGCTTTGAGTAACTTCTTGGTTGTGCAGGCTGCAGGCAATGTTGGCATTGTAAATTCCTCCCTGGCAGCCTCCTTCACGAGGTGAGGGGATCACTTCGGCTGCCTGCTGTGGACAAAGAACATCAAATTACAGCATCACGAGTGCTATTGTTGCCTGTGGTGGTCTCCCTGCCCAAGCGGGACCGCTTTGCAGAGACCAGACGCGTATCGCAGCTTGAGCTGAAAATGCATTTGTTGCAGCTTAGGTTGAATTATTTTTCGTTTACCCTTTCTTCTACACGCGCCTGATGGTTGGTGAACCTAATCATCAAAAAAGTGTACTGCTCTTCTGTCTATTGTACTGACTTAACCTCTTCCACCCAAGCCGGCATCTGTGTGTATCATCAATAAAGTTGTGTGCTTTGATTGGCAGAAAAGAGCCATGGTCCTTGTCCTTGAGTTTACAGTCTGCACGGAGAGAAGGACAAAAAAGGCACGGGTAAACGCCAGCTGACTGGGATGTCTGCTCCCTGGCAAATGCAGGCTTCTCAGTGCTCACAGGAGGCAGGGATAGAGAGGGCTGCACGCAGCGCTCAGAACAAATTTCAAGAAGAGGCTGGGGGCGGAGGTGGGGGGAGGTGAGGGGCACGATGGGGGAAGTTGGTGGAATTAAGGTGGATTGTTGAGAGGACTGAAAGAGAGGACACCCTTGGAGCAGGTAGCACCGTGCCCGGCACAGAGAAATCCCTTCTTAATGTGTTTTCCTTGACTGCTGGCCTGGAAAGAAAGATCAGAGGCCCTGGCCTTTTCCTTTGTCTGCGCATCCCGACGTCGGGGTGGGGACCGGGGTGGGGTGGGTATGGACGCTCTCCCAGACAGCGGGTCGCGTTTATTGCGCAATGATCGCGATGAACGCTGCGGCTTGCCCAGCACCTACCCCGTGTAGTTCTACGCCTCCTGCGAAGCCACGGGGAAACCTGCTTCCAGCCGTACTTCTCTCTTCCTTGGGATCCCCAGCGTTACTTCCTGGCAGAGTGAGACGATTGGCCGCTGCTCCCTTTGGAGGAAGCTCCTTTCTGCCGTATCCCCACTACCTTTGGCAGGACCCAGGAAGGGGACAGAGGAGCCCTCCATCAACTCCCCGCGGGGGTGAGAGGGCAGATGCTGAGGGTACTTGGCATGGCCATGGCCACTCCATCCATCCGTAGACACCTGCACACCCTCCATCTGAAGTCCCGGCACCTTGCCAGGAAAGGATGAGCCCCTGGGCGCAGAAGCACTCCATGGGTCAGGGCAGCTCGTTCTGCCCCGCCCCCACTTTCAACATGACCAGATCCCACCCAGCAGGTTTAGCCCCTGAATCAGCAAAGCCAGGTTCCCTGCACTTTTGTGATGTGTGTGTGTGTCAAGAGGTGGTCCCCTTCCCCCAATTCATGACGAATCCATTAAGCACATCTGCTTCCCTTGGGCAGGGCTGCTGCTGCGCCCCGTGTCCTCTCAGTCTCCCAGGGCTGCTCCTGTGGGTCACTGTGCCCTGGGCAGCGGCGATCTCTATGTGCTGGGTGTTCTGCTTGTTCTCTTTCACACAGAACAAAGCTTTCTTTTCTTGTATTATTCTCCCCTCCCCCTGCAGCTTGGTTTCCAGGTGGGTTACAACTTTCCTGCTTGTACCATCTGCCCGGCAGTCCATGCCGGTCAGAGGGCCTGAGTGCCTGATAGGTCCCCCAACCAACTCTGGGAAATCCTCCCACCTGGAATGGGGACCAGGCCTCTTCCCAGGCCCTGGTGCCTGGGATGGCCAACAAGTGACTTGCAGTTGCTGTGACACCCACCCCCCTCCCCCACTGCTGGGGCTTCCTTGGCTGGCTGGCTCTGGGAGCCCTGTCTTGGTTCCTAAGAGCTGTCAGTCAGAAGGACCACCCTTTCTCCCAAGCCAATCACAGTTTGGCTGGGGAATCTGATTTCAAAGGGGATTTCCCTGCAAACAGCTCCTCATCCACCTTTTTTTTTTTTTTTTT